GCAACGAATTAAATCTGTTGTCAATTACCAACGGAATCAAAAGCAAAAAAAAAAAAGAACTCTTAGCAACGGAAATTTCCGTTTACGATGAATTTGTCACATTTTAATAGTTAACAAGGATATTCATTTAATAATGTTATAAGTTTTTTTTTATACTTATAATTATAGTCACTATTATTATATATTACATATATTAAAAAATATCAAATAAAATTGAACATTTTTTTTATAAATTTAGATATAATATATATATAGTATATTTAATAATATGCAATAGTTAATAAATATAAAAATTGTAGAATCATGTCGCATACATTTATATAGTGTAGTGGTAATGTAAGTGACTTAAACATGCAAGAGGTTTTGTGTGTTCAAACCCTATTGTTGGAAAAAATTTGTAAGGATGGTTCAAGGTGGATCATGTGGTATTCTTCAAGTTGGGTAATATAACTAAACGATCCGCTGATAATCATTTGCTAAAATATTGTAAAAATACGTTGGTAATTGAGAAAAATCATGAAATGAACTGAAAATGAACAAATGCTTCAAAGCTTTTCATTGCTGTCAAATGCCATGGCGGCTGAGATAATACAAGATGATTATCATATCCAAACCCTATGCTAGGATATTTATAGCTAGCTAAAGAAGAATCTAGACTATGGCTAGATTGCTGCCACTTGTCTATCATCTAGCCTATTGTTGTAATGGGGAAAAGCTGTCAAGGAATATGCTCTACATTGTTTGTGATTGGCTAGGCTATGCTTGGGAGTGAGAGAGTCGTTGCAGTTGTCTCCATTCAAAGAGACAAGGCTTGCTGACCTCATGGTGACATCATGTTGAAGAGAGGAGTGTGCTGAGTACATGCAGTGGTCATGCAGAGGTGATGAGCTTGGTTTAATGGTTTTTAACACTCCCCTGCAATCTGAGCCAGGTAGGCACTTCACTTGCAACAAATCTCTTAACCTGGTGAAAGATTGATCATTCAAGGCTTTAGTAAGAATATCTGCAATTTGATCACAGCTGGGAACATGTCTAACTTCAAGCACTTGAGCTGCCACCTTTTCTCTTACAAAGTGATAATCCAACTCTATGTGTTTGGTTCTTCCATGCATCACTGAATTAGAGGCCATAGCAATAGCACTGATATTATTAATCCACACAACAGGTTTAGTGCCAGACTGAAAATGCAATTCTCCTAGCAAACTAAGGATCCACAGCACCTCTAAAGTCACATGAGTTAGGCTTTTGTATTTTGCTTCTGCACTTGATTTAGAAACTGAAGCTTGTTTCCTTGAACTCCAAGATACAAGATTTCCTCCTATATAAACACATAAACCACTTGTAGATCTCCTGTCATCCAAGTCTGCTGCCCAGTCTGAATCACAGAATCTAACCACATTCAAATTATCTGATTTAGCAATATCCAAACCAAGATGAGTGCTTCCTGAAATATACTTTAGTAATCTCTTAATTGCTTCCCATTGTTCCTCATGAGGATGAGACATGTACTGGCTCACCTTGTTAACAACATAAGATATTTCAGGTCTTGATATAGTTAGATACTTAAGGCTTCCAACTATCCTCCTAAACAAAGTGCCATCAATGCTGATGTCTGATTTGTTTTTGGATAAAATGCAGCTTGTTGACATGGGGCTTTTGCATCCTTTAGCATTGTACATTGAAAGTCTTGAAAGAAGAACCTGAGAATATCTTTCTTGTGAGAGAAAGAGACCTTTTCAGTTTTATGGACTTCCATGCCAAGAAACTGATGTAACTCACCAAGGTCTTTAAGGGAAAAATTTTCACCAAGCTGAGAGATGACTCTTTCCACTTCGATGTTGCTGTCACCTGTAACTAGAATGTCATCCACATATATAAGGACAATAACAATTGAGCTTTGCCTTCTTTTAAAGAAGAGAGAATTATCAGACTTTGAGCAAACAAAACCCATGCAGCTTAGGGTCTCTTTAACCTTGAGAAACCAAGCTCTTGAAGCTTGTTTAAGACCATAGATGGCCTTGTTTAATCTGCAAACCTTTCCTTGATTGAATTATTCTCCAAACCCTGGTGGCTGTATCATGAAAATTTCTTCTGAAAGATAAACATTAAGGAAGACATTATTTATGTCTAATTGCCTGATCTTCCAAGAGTGGTGAACAACAATGGTAAGAATAATTCTGATGGTGGAATGTTTGACTACAAGACTAAAAGTTTCTTTGAAATTAAACCCTGCAGCTTGAGAGAATCCCTGAGCTACTAGTCCTGCTTTATATCTGGCTATGCTTCCATCAGAGTTTCTTTTTAACTTAAACACCCACTTACATCCAACAATGTTCCTTCCATCAGGTGGTCTCACTAGATTCTAATATTATTCTCCTTCAAAGCCTGCAGATCCTTCAACATTGCCTCATACCACTGAGGTGAATTTAGAGCTTCATCCAAACTGCTTGGTTCTCTTTGTTCAATGCTGACCATCAAGACTCTTGGTTTATATATTCCTGCCTTCCCTCTAGTAATCATGTGATGCCTGTTTTGATTTTCTGAAGATCTTGAAGTATGATGAGTGGACTCTGATGAATTATCCCTCTCAACAGGTAAGTTAACAACCAATGGAATGGTTGAATGACTAGAATGACTCCTTATGCTTCTAGGAGAATGAGTGTTAGGACTGTGACTTTGAAGAGAGGGAGTTCTAGTATTTTGAGGAAGGGATGCATCTAGGGAATTATGAGAATTAGTACTTGGGTGAACTTGTTGAATGAACTGATAAATTGATATGGGAGGTTCAATTGGAGAAGAAGCTTTTGGCAGGTTAGTGGGATTATGATGAGTATGGTCTTTTTGTTGTGCATGATCATGGTTCTTCATTAAAGAGAACATGTCTTGACACTACAACTTTTCTTGAGGGAAGTAAAATTTTATAGCCTTTGTGAAAGCTACTGAAACCAATGAATGTTCTGCCTATTGATCTTGGCTGGAGTTTCTGTTTATTATAAGGCCTCAATAAAGGAAAAGCAAGACAGCCAAAGGTCTTTAACCTGCTGTAGCCTGGAGGATGGTGGTGCAGCACTTCCAAGAGAGTCTTAAACTGCAAGGACTTGGTTGGTAATCTGTTAATCAGGTAACAAGAGTGGCAAAGGCATCATCCCAGTGATTTAAGGGCAAGGAGGATTGGTTTAATAAAGACAATCCCATTTCAGTGATATGTCTATGTTTCCTTTCAGCAGTTCCATTTTGTTGAGGAGTGTATGGGCAAGAAACTCTATGAGTAATTCCATTAGACTGAAGGAAAGGATCGAGTGATCTGTATTCCCCTCCCCAATCAGTTTGAAGATTTTTAATTTTGAAACCAAATTGTGTTTCAACCATGGTTTTGAAGTGAAGGAAGATATCAAAGACTTCAAATTTTTGTTTGAGAAAGAAGATCCATGTAAATTTGGTGAACTGATCCACAAAGTTAAGATAATATAGGTGACTTGTTTTGGATTTAATGGGAGAAGGTCCCCAAAGATCAGAGTGAACAAGTTCAAATGGCAATGTGTATTCAGTTTCAGAATCATTGAAAGGCAGCTTGTGAATTTTAGAGACAACACATATAGAACATAAAGTGACATTTGTATTCAAATCAAAAGACTGGTTACAGGACTTCAAGACACTCTTAACAATTTCATAACTACAATGACCAAGTCTTTTGTGCCATAAGTCTAAACAAGCTTCCTTCTTAACAGACTGCACTAAGTTGACAGAAAATGGGGGCTGAGGATGATGTTCAAGACTCTACTGGAATTTAAAGACTTTAGTTGAGTCTTACCAATGTGAGGGATAATTTCACCAGAGCCATTACCCATATGCAGCTTGCTTCCTCCTGAGTACTCAGTAACAATGCTCATGTTGCTGAAATCATTTGTTACATGATTTGTAGCACCTGAATCTGGGTACCACTGGTTTCTTTCTGGGCTAAAGTCATATGAGGAACTTCCAGGAGTGTGAGCAAGGTTTGCTGTGGGATTGTTGATGAAGTTCTTTTCAGTTTTGTCAGGTGAGCTTCCCATGTAACCGTTGTCATACCTGTACCAGCACCTCTCTGTAGTGTGGCCAGGGACACCACAGACTTGACATGAGACTTTTGTCCTACCACCTCTACCCCTACCTTGTCAGCCTCCTCTGCCACTTTGGTTGAAGGGAGCTCTTCCTCTTCCTCTTTGAAAACCAGATTGAAAACTTCCTCTGGTATTCTGTGTGAAGGCAGTGTTGAAAGTGGGGGAGGTACCATCACTGTTGACCAAGGGGCTGTGCACAGCAAATGACTTCAATCTTCCTTCAAAACTCAACAATAAAGCTTGGATGTCTATGACTGACCATGGTTCAATTCTGGATGAGACAGTGACCATGATGGGGTTATATTCTTGGCCCAGACCACCAATGAGGTGCATAATTTGATCTTTCTCTGAAATCATATGGCCAGCTGAAGCCAAGGCATCAAATAACCCTTTGATCTTGCTGATGTACTGTAATATCCCGAGATATTATCAGTATAAATTACGTTTAATTCCGATATAGTAACGTTATCGTTTATTATTTTCGGAATTAATTAAGTTCAGTCGAGATTACCGAAATCTATTTTCGACGTACCGTTTACGTCCGAAATAATTTTGGTAATTAAGTACTATGTTTAATTAAAGAATTAAACATAGATTTGTGATTAATTAAGTCAAGTAATCACCTATTAAGTCATAATGCCGTGGGATTAGGGAAATTTCCCCTCTAAAATTAAGCATAAGCCGTAGCTACCTTTGAAGTGAGGAAAGCTAATTCCTTTCATGTGTTAACTAAAAACGTGGCATCACTAAAGGTGGATTAGTCATCAAGAGTAGTCATGATGTTGTGCCATGTGGAGGGCTCAAGAGGAGACACACCACACCCTCGTCACTCCCTTTGCCTCTCAACCGAGTATATATGAGGATATTGGGACAAAAATTTCTCCTTTTCCCATAAGAGACACACAACAGCATATTGCCTCTCATTTCCTTTCTTATTCAGCAGCAAATTGATAATAATTTCCTAGCAAAGTTTCCCTATTTTCTCCATTAAATCGCACGGCAAGGGTGAGGGTGGGCACGGAGTTCACACGAGGAAGAAAGACCACGCTTAGTTGCGTTTTCAGCCGCGAGTTCCGAAGAGGTAATCTCTTCTCAGCTCATGTTTATAGTAATTAGGTCATTAAAGAGTTAACTGTTCGGAGAATTTTCAGAAATCATGTTTAAAAACCGTACCTAAGTTCATGTATGCCTAAGTAATTTTGTCACCGAACAAAGTTCGATTCTCTCCGACAACTTCGAACCCTGATTATCTAAATGTTCAGTTTAGTCTAATTGATGCTCAATAGGATCAGATTGTTGAGTAAATATGCAGAAAAGTTGATGAATGGCCTCCAGCCGGCACCCCCGCGCCTATCGCGCGTAGCCTCGGGTAGCCTTGGGCCGAGACTTGTTACCTTAGTATTAATCAATTGTCCGTGTGATTAAGTCTTACTTTGTTTCAATATATTG